TGTTTTGCTCACGCACAGGAACCAGGGGCATGCTGGTTCTGAGCTGAGCTCTGTGAAGCCTCCTACATATCCAGAAACCCCCACTCTCACATTCCAGGATGGAATTCAGACACAGATGGGACTCACTGGGGGTGTGTCATGCAAATCCTATCTCAGTCAAAATCCCCTCAGTTTGTGTCAAAGGCCATCACGTAGGCCCTGCTCCAGAACAGTGCCAGAAATGTTTCCCACCTTCCCACCTCTCAGGCCCATCTTTGTACCTCACAGGCTCCATTTTTGGTTGGGTAGGCTTTTGTGGAGTACATCAAGAGATTGGATGTGTAAAATTGGGAATTAATAATGCAGCAATGCCAGTGGTTGGCATGTCCAGACCTGTTGGCTTTGATGGAACTATTCAACTGTGCAAACTAAAATAGGCACAACAGTGTTTGCCAGCTCAAACTCCAGAGCCAAAACAGGGAGCTCATTAAGAACACACACTGGTTCTGGCACTGCAGTTGTGCTTTACAGACCAACCAAAGATCAAGCAGCAACAAAAGCTCAACCTACAATTTAGACAAAATGATCCAGAATTACAACTTTTAGGCATGTAGTAGGACCACAATGTCAGCAAGGCAACAAGAAAGGCTGTCCTGGGGCAATGTATGTACTGATTTAATGTACATTCACAGAAGTTTGGATTTTCCTGTGTTTATTATTTTCCTCAAAATATTCTGGAGCTATGGAAAAGGAACCTTGCTGTTATTTAACAGCCTTTCTCTGGTCAAATTCAGTTAGGCCAAATAAAATCTTGGTTTCCCCATTGAAGCCTGTGTGCTGATGGAAGTGAGAGAAGATTCCCTGCTGCCCTGCATCCAGCTGTGCCTGGGGGCGGGAGAAATGCTTTGAAGGGCACAAGTGAGCAGTAATAGGCTTAGAGGGACATAAAAAATGGACCCAAAATCCTGTTTCTTCAAACAGCGCAATATTAAGTCTGTAGACTCCAAGACAATGTGTCTGTGGTAAGGCCTGAGTGCCTGCAGTAGAGCCACAGCACACAGCTCCTGTCAAGCAGAATGAAATCTTCTGGGCTCTTTCTACCTTTACAAATATTATCTTTTGCTATTATTTAGTTAGAAGGGGTTTCACCTCTGTTAGTACTAATCCAATGCTTGAGTGGCCTAGCTAAAACAGACTGACCTAAAGTGTTCAAACCATTTTCCAGGGTATTAACATTCCTGTCTAAAAACCACAGGACTTACATCTCTCTTAGTAGCCTTTATGAACTTAACACATTGAGCAGAAAACCTGGGAAAAGGTTGGAGAGAAAGAGCTGCGCTTGGAGATTGGGGGAGTCCATTGGGGTAAAGCACTGCAACATCCTGGAGAGGATGTCATTGCCTATGTCTCTGGACAACCAAACTGCTCCAGCTTCTGCATCTGCCAGTCTGGCACCTTTAATAACTAATTAAATCACACTGAGGACATGAATACGCTCTTGGATAAATAATAAATGACAGCTCTCACACTGGCACGTGAGCACACAGGCATACCCAGGGCAGGAAATCACACACAGCATTTCATTTGTTGCTAATTTATCTGTAACAAAGTGAGGAAGATGCCCTGGGGACTGGTGACTAACAAGGAGCATTGTTTATGCTACAAATCCCATCCGGTTATTAGGCTTTGAAAAGTGCTTTGTTTAGCTTATCAGTGCTTCAGCAGGAATGCCAGGGGCAGTATTTCTGTTCTAAGTGTATTTCTATTCCAATATTACTGACACATAAGAGGTTATGTGTTACCTGAGGGCTGAATATTCGGCTTGTGCTTCAGTGCCGTGTTGAATCAGGATCAGGATGGTGAACACTGCACAAAACCAAGCCCTGAACACATTTCCTTATCAATTTTACAGCATTAAATTGAAGAACACCTTTACATAAATCAAACCTTTCTCAAGGGCTATAGAACACGACAAAGAATAATTACCCTATGGCATATAAATGCCCATAATTAAAAATTACCTCCACATGTTAGACCTTCTGCTTAAATTCTGCACTTCACTTAGGATGTATACAAATTTGAATTACAAGACCTAAGACTGCAGTTATGCAACTCCAAAGTATAACAAGTGTCTGGCAAGTTTTAGAGATGTTTCACAACAGGACTGATAAGCTGCTACTCTGTCAGGTGATAAAATACCTACAGTGTGCCCTTGATTCAAGTTAATATTTAAAAATAGGAATGCAAGTTTTTTATTGCGCTCAGGTACCTTTTCCATGATGTTAAATGACTTTTAGGGGAGAAGATTTAGAAAGGGAGGGCATTATTTTCAGATGGAAAAAAACTACATTTCATTTTATAATTTGTAAAACCTGAGAGCCCCTTGCCAACTTAATTAATAACTGGCAAATAAAAGCAACTAAATTGGGAAATTAAATTATTAATTGGCAAATAAGGCATAATTGGCCTTGCTGAATGATTCCACACCCACAGTGTCACTGACTCAGCTCCTCTCAAACATTTTTGCTAAGAGGAATGTCAAACTCAGCCTCATGTAGGTCTCCTGAACCACCGTAAGTGTTCATCCCTGACAAGTTCAAATCTTAAAGCAGGGATTGCTTTACTGAACAATGCCACGTGCTCATGGAAAAACCAATAAATGTTTGTGAGCACTCGACATGCTGAAGGCTTTTTAAACTTTAATACCTCTCCTCAAAGATGCTGATGAGAACGGACTCACCACTGATGCTTTAGAGCTAAATTTCCATGTGGTAAAACTGGAAGATGTTGTGAGCTGAGCTGTGTTACAGAGATAAGGTTTATACCCAGGAGCTTCTGGCTTCATAGGCAACAAACAGATCAGTGTTCATGCCTTCCTTTTGTGTGGCAAGAATTAAAAATGCATCAAATCTGGTGGCTGGGGTTTCATACAATGGGCTTGGTTTTGCAGAATTCTACTAGAATTATTTTCTGAAATGCACAGCTTTCATTTGAAGCTGAAAGATGTGTCCAGATCTGAAAATCTCCTTTTTCTCAAAAATCTGACTCTCAGTTTCAAAGCCTGTCCCCTGGTGAGGTACCTACATGAAGAATTCCTTTGCAAATCTGACCTGTGGAAATGTGACTTCAGTGAACACCTGTGCTATGCTCTGAGAAAGTAATAGAAACATAAGGATCTGATTTCTGAAAACCTTAAAGGCTTTCTCTGGATCTTTGAATTCTAAGTCTGTTTTTCAGAATAATTTGCTTCTGAATTTGGGGTTTAGTTTTAGTTGGACTTTTCCCCTTTCATTTCCTCAAAATGAATTAAATTTACTTCTACTGGACTAAACAGTTTATCATTCAGTTCTGGCTGAGGATTCTCAAGAACATATGGGTTAGGACCACCAAAGGCACCCAGATCAAAATATAAGACTGTGAAATAGTAATTCCTAAGGACACTTGCAAAGTTTCCAGCCTAAAATGTTAGGAGGAATGATAATTTTAATAGTGCTGTTTGAAATAACCCACAGAATTACTACATGAGAGGAAGCTCATGTCATTTTAGGCAAAGTCACACTAAATATTTTAATTTATTAGGACTGTTTAGTGCCATCAAAACCTCAAAGCCTCATGACACAAACACTGACTGCCATAATCAATCTCTAATTCAATCACAGTTCAAATGTTCAAAGGCCAGCTCAGGATTTTGGAAGGGGTAAATTAGTTCTGGCAGCCTTACAGCAATCTCAGATATCATCTGTCTTCTCCTTCTATCAAATCCAGCTGGGCAGGCCCCTCATAACCATTGATGCTGGCTAGAGCCAACTCCAGCATCACTGGGAGTGCTTGAACTCAATAAATCAGAAATTTGATTATGTGCAGATAATCTATTAAAAATAAATGACAGACTTGGCATGTTTTTCCCAGCTGATCGACTCAGGACAAGACTAAACCACTGATGTCTTAGCTGAAGGTGACCTCAAGTCCCTTTTTCCTCTCAAACACTCTGTTGATGCAATTGGAAGAAAGAATGTCCATACCAGGTGACACAGGGCCATCTTGCCTTGGGACCTGCTGGACTCAGGAATTCCTAGCTTCCATAGAATGCCCATGGCTTTACTGTGTATGTAAGGAACTGCCTGGTTTTGCTCCCTCTGGATCAGTCATCCCTGGTCATTCTGCAAGAGCTGAATGAGTTTCCCACCTTGCTTCACTCAATCAGTGAAAGATCACAAGGAAAATAAAAATGTGATGTCACAATCCTGGATTTGAATGATGATTGAATGATTTTTATTCTTCCTGCACACACACATATTATTCACACAGTGCAGGATCACTGCCTGGATCTTTGCTGTAATTCTAGTCCTAATCAAATGCTCTGGGAGCAGAGCTTGAGCATTTGCAGGGTCTCAACAGGCCCTTGCACTCAAGCTGACGAGTTTCCAGCCCCTTTGCCTGTGCCTGAGCTCAGCAGCCAGAACTGGTATCATCAGCAACACTAAATATTCCATTTTCCTGTTTTCAGAGCAGCACAAACTCTCTTTCTGCAGACTTGCTCATGAGTCATCTGGAAATAAACCATAATCACTTGTCCCCTAGGAGTCATATATAAGTTAATTACTGTACAAGACAAGCTAATACAAAATACATAAGAGATTCCAACTTGTTGAAGTTGCAAAGGGCAAGGGAGACTTTCAGAATTTCCATTGGTTACAGTCTGGGAATGCTGGGCTTCCCTTGAATCCGTATCTACCATATAATCACAAACACATTTTGTTCCCTTTGTTGTAGGAGACAGAACTAAAGAAATGTGGGTGTTATTCCTATGCACAAATACAGTAGATACCTAATGGGCCTGTGTGTGTGCAGTGTTTGCAAACACAACTGCTCTGAGCTGCAGCTGACAGAAACCATCACTGCTTGTCCAGCTAAGAGGATGTTCTGGATCTGCAAATGCCCCCAGCCCTGCACTGGAAGTCAGAGGAATGGGATGTGCAGATGAATTTTAGGTGCCACCATGTTAAATAAAATCTGCTTGCCTGGAGTTCAGTGTCCTGGACTTGGATCTGACCATCGCTGTGGTGTCTTATTCCTACCCAGCCATCCTTTGCTGGGCTATTGTGTGGTTGTTATCTCTGCAGGAGAGAATCTGATCAGTGCAAGGAAAGGAAAATCTGAAAACAATGAAAAGACCTTTGGCATCTGACACATTTCTGTTGATGATGGAAACGAATACATTTATAACTTCACAGTAAAGGAGCAAGATTTTTTCCAGTAGTTATAGAAACACTCTTGTTAAGGCTGGAAAAGCCCTCGAAGATCATTGAATCAAAGTTATGGCACAGTAGTTTAAAACCTCCAGTTGCTCTTATTTACAGATCCTCATTAGAGGAGGAAAGAATGGTGCTGAATGATGCTGATTTAAAATTACTCATTTGGTGAATTCATTGTTTTAGACCTGGGTCTGGCAAGAGACTTCATTTCCTGAACACTCACCTGGATTCTTTTTGCCATTCAGCTTATGGTACAGAGAGAACTCCATTCTGGCATCCAGGAAGGCAGAGAACACACCAGACTTTGTTTCAGTGCATTTAAGTGACAGACACAACTGCAGCGGAGGAGGAAAACAGAGAGAATTAGTTTATGTGTGATATCTATGCTGAGTTTCTGTGACTCTGCTAATCACAGTAAATTATTATAAATGAACTGAATATGTCAATCAAATTACTAATTTAGTGAGGACTCTGCTCTAGATCTCTCCCAGGAACCACAGCAACTCCAGCTGCCCCACCTGCCTCCAGTGAGCCCCTCTCCCAGCAGGAACCAGCTGTGGGCATTTATTCTGCAGGAAGTGTTCTGGACTGGCAGTGCAGGCAGTGCTTACACAGGCTGCTAAACAAGGCATTCTTCTGGCAGCAATCTCAAGGCCTGTGTAAGAATCAGGACCAAGCCCTTCTCCCTGGAATTAATGTAGGTTCCCTCACTAGAAGCAGAAGAAATCCCATTTTTATATTCCCCAAGAAATCAGTAACTGTATTTTTATTTGCTCATTGCTTTCCTATCTACAAGGTGCCACTTTTGAAATACCCATGAAGTCTTAGGCTGCCAAAAAGTAACAGATGATCTCAGAAGATACTGTTAAATTGCAATACAAACTTGTGGAATGGGTAAAATGCACCATAAAATCACACAATTTGTATTTGACTATGCAAAAAACCCCAACCTATTACAAAAATCAACAGTCCAATAATCACATTTGTAAGTGTGAAAGCTCAAGATGTAACAAACATGAAGTCTCATCTTCAAGCATGAACTCACTTCTGAGAAGACAGCTTGTCTTTTTAATCAGCAGCATAAAAATCCAGCTGTCCCATAAAATTAATTTCTATGGGTAAAAATCAGGAGTAGGACACAGCAGGCTTAGGTCTGGTTCTGTCTCACATTCCTGCTTCCCAAGTGAAACATTTCCTAAAATAAAACAGTAATCTAGGCATAATTACATTGGTTTGCAGTCCCATAAAAGCTTTTTACACAAACAAAAGTAGTGGAAGTTCCACTTTAAACAATTCAGTAAGTTGGTTTCTAGTCATGCATAAAGGTTTTTAAAATCTGTTTACTGTTTTTAAGTAAATCTGTGTGGTCTTACAGAGAAAAATTGTTCAAAGAAATCTCATCCCAACGTAAGCTCACTAACTGTTTATTCTAGCCCAGGATCTGTTTAACAGGAAAGGGACAAAACAGATTTGAGGGTCCTTCTGTCAAGGCAGCTCCTGGTGTGGGCTCCTGTCCTCGCCCAGAGGAGTATCCCATCTCCAGTCACTGGATAATCTGTGTAAAACCCTAATTCTCCAGACAAACGTGTCTGCTAAATACCTTCTTTGAGGCTCTGAGCCATATGGTTGAGATTACAGCATTTAAATAGTTTTTCCAAGTGAATACAAGGATGAAGCACAGAATAGTAGAGGGAGGTATGTCCATAATTGCATTTATAAAGGGATTTCAGGATTTTTAAGGCCCATGTTCTGCACCACTGGAGCTAATGTGAGTTGGGCATCTTGAAGCAAGTGCAAGGTATATTTACAAGCCATTCACACTTTTTTCACCACACTATAAAAAGATCTAAGTACAAAGGAGAACAAGGGGCCGTGTTGTTAATGCTGGTGCAATAAAAGCACATTTTTATCTTTAGGATAAATATAACAGAGCACAGCCCCACGTCACCACTGCCACTATGCCCATCCTCTGGGAGCAAAGCAAATCAGTGGATCCCCAACAGCCAGGGACACCTCTGGAGACACCATGTAATACTTCCCATTGTTTCATGTTTTTCTAACCCTGTTTTATAACATACAGGAAAAGGAGGCTTTGAACAGAACCCATCCAGGACAAACAGCAACCACATGGCCTTAAAACCTGTTTCAAATAATGCCTCAGTAGTTACAGTTTAAAGTACAAAGATAGACATAACAACAAAGAGCATCAACTTCCCTCTTTCCCTGGCCTGGTTAATTTTTCCTTTTCCATCTGTGAGTATGACCTAATGATACAGATTTTATTTGTATTTAATTTTGAGATCTGTAGAAGAGAAGTACCATATACAAGCTGGGCCTATGTTGTTTTTCTTAGCTGTACATACTTGGCCAGGCTTTCCTTCCCTCCACACCATTATTTACACTCCGGAGCACTGACTCCAGTGTGATGCATTATCCATGTTATGGCTGTTTATAGACTAGAAGTGGTCTTTGTAACATGTCTGTTTTTCATGTCTTAAACTAATAAAACTTTTACATTTGGCTTATCAAAACCATTCTGTGTAGATCTAAGTCTGTTGTGACTGAAATCAGTAATAAAACTTCTCTTGATGCCCTGTGGAACAGAGCTAAGGCAACACTGAGCTCTCTTAATAAATTCCGCTCCGGTAAAAGTTTTATTTAAAAAATGTGGTTAACCCAAAGCTTTTAAAGAAGATTAATGTGGACTTATAAAAAATGTCTGATTTTATTATTAGTAGTAATTCATACAGTTTGTCCTGAAGTTTTCCTTTTCAGCTTCAGTTTGAACCATATGTTCAGGAAGTTCAACTGAAAAGCAATCCTTCAGCAATATTATTTTTTTCTAATTAACAATAACCACAGAGGTATTTTAGAGAAACCTACAGAGTCCCTCAGAAGGTTGTGGAGTGGGATAGATTAAAACAGGATTTTGTCTATTTTATGAAAAATTCACTGAAGCACAAATGGGTCAGCTTCAGAGGATTCCTTCCTTTCCTGCTCTACCAAACAAAGGATTCTGAGTGCAGCAAATCTTAATTTCCATGGGATTCTTTTGTGAAAGGCCTTGAAGGACTCTGGGATCCATCAGTGCTCCGTTGGCCTTGCTGGGACTGAGCACAGGCACAGCAGCGCAGCCGTGGGGATCCCCAGACTTTGATCCACCACCCCAGTGGGTCAAAGCCAGTCAGAGGTGATGGGTGCCAAACACAAAGCTCAAGGAGAAGCTGGAAGCTGGGTGCCAGACTGGGTTCATACAGACTGGATGAGGATTTAGGAATAAACACAGCTGTGGGCTCAGCCAAACGCCCTGTGTGTGCAAACAAAACACAAGAGGCACAAAGATAAACCCTGCACTCAAATGAAAATGAGTAAAAAGCACAAGCTGGAGCGAGGTTCATAAAAATACCTTTGGGCCAAATTTCACATTCCCAGTCCTTGTACACATGATGTAACTTATGGCATCAGGAACATTTTTTATTTTGGATTTCAAACATGGTTTCTCTCAAACTCCCTTTCTCAGTGACAGCAGATGAGATGATGCTGGGTGCAGAACCCCTGCACTGAGGGCTCCTGGAGACTTCTTGTTACAGCACAGCTCACAAACTCCTCACTGGCTGTTTTTTACAACAAAGATCATTGTTCAGCTCAACAGAACAATCCCATCAAAATGGCAGCACAATGTTGTGCTGCTGTTTTCACTGGGGGCCCTGTCAAGTTGCATCAGTTGAAATGCTGAGAGGTTTTATTTCCCTGACCTGTCACACTGCTTGCTGTGCCCCCGAGCTGCCAGTCAAGCTGTGCTGCTTCTGTTGAGATGCTGTTTGTGCTTTGTTTGTTGGTGGTGCCAGCCCTGACATTCAATTTTCCTGTTTTCTGACCAGCACTAACTCACTGCTGTCACAGCATGTGCAGCCTTATCTTATTGTCCTCACACTCTGCCCCCTTTCGCTCCCGAGACCTCTCTATGTTGTACCTGGAAATCAGCAGCAGTCTGGGTAAAATGGGATGTGGCAATTGGCTTTTCCAGAGGTACAAGCTGCTCCTTGGCTGTGCCTACTGGTTTATCTGGGATAAGTGGCCCCAGAAGTCACTCTGGACAACTCCACCTTGATGCAGCTGCAATGCTTCTGTCCATGGGCACCCATATTCCTGAGGGCTTCAACCATGACCCAGGGAGCTTCCAGAGTAAGACCTAAAGGGAAAGGAAACCTTCCCCTAGTTGATCTGTAAATCTCTGCACACACCAGTGTGGAAGAGCAAAGGCTCCATTTTTGCACAGTCACAGAGGAAAACCATGCATTAAAAATAAAGAATTACATTAGTTTTCACAGTCCATTGTAGAAAGAGTGTTTATTAAGCCTGCTAACTTCCCTGTAAACATTAAATAATCTCCAATATGTTTAGCATATCTTCATTTTTTAATTTGGTAGGTTGCTGCCTGACCGCCCACTGGAGACACAGTCCCTGGTTAGAAGCACTAACCTGCCCTCCCTGCACACAAAGGTAATATTTACCTCTGTCTGCATTCTGACACATGCCAAACAATGAGCCTGAGCTCTTGGGATCAGATTTATTTATCCTCTAATTTTCCCACAGCATTTCAAAACCCACTTGGGCTTGAATGATCCTGCAGCCATTTGCATTTATCATTTGACACGTCAGATCAAACAGCTCTGTGAAATATCAAACAGGCCTCCAGCATTTTTCTTTTGTGTAGTTTATTGAATCTCTGGGATAACATTCCACAAAAAAACCCATGGAAGTTCCTAATCTCACCAGGCTCCAGTCAGAGGTTGCTTGTTGTACTGGGGGGCTGGATACAGTGGAAAAAAGGAAAATGTTCTTTATTGTGGAACTGTGTTGCTTTTCACACCTCTTGTGAGAAGCAAAACAATAAGCCAAGGAAACAACCTCGACCCCTAAGTGTTTATAAATCAGCATTTACTGAGTGAGCAGCACATAACAAATGGATTGAAAGAGACCCAGCAAGGAAAACCAGTCTGTACCATTGTGTGATTACCTTCTGATGCAGGTACTGGCAATACTGTGCTGGAGTGTTACCATCCTGCTGCATCCAGAACATCCTAGTGAAGGTGCTTCTGGAATTCTCACCTGGAGAAGTCCTGCAAGTTGCCCTGGCAGGGAGGAGAACACAGTGTGCTATAAAAAGCCTGGTTAATTAAAAGGCAGACTTAGAGAGGGTCAGGCTGGACCTTTCAAATATCACTCAGATTTGAACTGCAGGATTTTAATTTGCCTCTAAAATTTCAAATCAGATTCCAGTAGAAAGCAGCTGGATTTTTCCCCAGGTATTGCCAAATCCAAACAGTTCACACTGGCTCTGTCTTTTCTTAATGCTGGAATCCCAGTTCCCAGAAGGATTCTGTGTCAAGCAGAATACTTTCTTTTCCAAGAGCCAGGGATCCCTTTTAGAAGGGTTCCTCTGGATACTGTACCATGATTGAACAGTGTAGAAGCATTTGAACAGCACAGAAAGGTTCTGCATGCAAGAGATTTTAACTTTCAAAGTGCTTAAGAGACACATGGAACTGAAATGCATCAGAATACAAAATAACCAGTCTCATGAGAACATTCAGTTTGCAGGTTACCTGTATGACAGGTTGTCATTCCTGACTCTTGCCTTGTGAGGACTCTTCACCCAGGTGGGTCTCCATGGAGTTTTTTCCCAATACTTTCTCTTTGTTTCTTTGGAACCATCATATTCTTGTCTTCTCCATGTGAGTGAAGCTTGGGCCTCTCTGCAGGACTCTTGGAGCAGCTGATGACACAGTGATTGCTTCCCTTCTTTTAATTTGCATGATAAAAATCTGTCAGCAAATTGCACCTGAAGGGGTGAGGATGGCAGGGTCTGCAGCTCAGGGGTCTGACTGACCCCAGCTGGGGCCCTTGGCCAAACTTCCTCAAGCCATGACTGAGGCTTCTCTTGGAATGGGGCAGTGGAACGTTTGTCACTGTGCTGCTGCCACAGGCTGAAGGACTCAACAGTGCTTGCCATGGCCAAGGCACTCAATGTGCAGCCCTCAGAGGGCAGTTGTACAAAAATGCCTTAAGGCACAGAGTTTAACATTACAGTGCCCATCGACCAGCAGCTGAAGAGGGTTAGATCTCTTGAGCTTTAACATTTTACTACTTGGCTCAATTTGAATTAAATTTTAATTTAAGAACTTGGCAAACTGAACAACTTGCTAAGTCTGGTATACAATGATGGTCAGGCAGTCTCACTGCAAAATCCTGCAACAGTGTTTGTGTTATCACAGCTGATTACTCAGCCACTGGGATACAGACTTCTCACAGCTCTGGTTTTAGAATGGATCATATGAAACTCGTAGGCACATTGGCTTGGAATAAAATGCAGCTATAAAGTACAAGTATCACAAGGGGAGGAAGGCATTAAAGGCCATGCAGGAAATGGGAACAAATCTCTGCAACTGTGTCATGCAAGCCCACGCAAGGCACAGAGAGTCCCTGAACCCTGTGCATCTACACTTTACACCAAGTCAATGTGATTGTTTGTTCCCTTTGCAGACTCCCTACACCCCTCGTGCTAAGTCTTGCTACCAGTTCAGCCAGAGAAACCGAGGCCAGTTTGAGGATAATGATATAAATAGCAGGAAGTTTATGGAAACTTTGCTGAAATTGTTTGTGTTGAACTGCAAAGAGGTAAAAGTGCTGGTGCAGTGCCAGGCAACCCTGCACATGTGTCCCTGTATAACCTGTACCTTTGCTATCCATTTGGAGTCTGTGGACTTCATTTTTACATACTAATTGCATATTAAAATAGAGATATTAAGATTTATGAATACTTAGTGGTTACAACACACTGGTCTCCAATTGCTTTTTCCCCACTCTGTCTTTTCAGCTGACAGATTTTATCGTGCCCCTGAGTTGGGAGCTCTGACACCCCACTATGTCAGAGTCATTCTCTTGCTTCTTTCACTCTGTTTTTACAAAGCATCTTCATTTTATTCCCATCAACTTTCATTGTCTTTAATTATGTCCCTGAACTTTTAAAGCTGTTTCTCCTAACAATGGGTACTTTGGAAAGGGTAACAATTGCTTTTCCATGAACTACAAGGCAGGAAGTGCATTGTTTCTTTAAAAAAATTACCAGATGTTTTTCAGGGCTGACTACGAACATTAAAAAAAAGCCAGAAACTATTATTTTCCAAATAACCCAAGCATAATTTTGTTATTGTGCGACTCCTGTTTGCATTTAACTGGGAATTGCAGCCTAAGCCAATACTAAAGAAGGAATTTCTCTCAAGCTAAGTGTGTAAAGTTCATCTATGTGAATATTGACTCCATGGACTCAAGTCCATCTGAGTGAATCATGTTATTTCTTGTGCTGTTCCTGCCAGTCCAAATACTGGCATTGGGGTACCTGCAACTGGTTGTCTTGTGTTCCCTGACTGGAACAAATTAATATTCCTTGCGCCTGTGTGCAGGGATTATTAACACAAAATACCCAGTGCTTCCCAGTAAAGTGACTGCATTTTATTTCTCATTAAAAATTAAAACATATACTTTAAACGATAGAAGGATATTTTTTATCATGGACAGTACAGTAAGAAGAAATTACCCGCATCACACATGCCTGGAAATTCACCTGCTGTTCCCAGCTCCCATGCCTCTGGATCACAAGCTGTTCATGATGGAGCGATACTCTCTCTGGTGCTCCACAAGCTTCAAAAATACTTTGTATTTCTTGTCATAAAATCTGTGTAAGAAAGTTAATGTCAGCAAAGTCTGAGATTTGAGGATTTAAATCCCCTGCAATATACATGTTTACTTGCTTCTCTTAGCATTAAAGACACTTTGACTCTTTCCTAGGTACAGCTGCTGCTGGGGTCACAGCCCTCCCTGTGCACTGCTGGGGCAGTTTCCACCCAAGCTGCAATTCCACCTTTTGTTTCCCTACAGCCAGCTTGGCTTCTCATACAGAGTCTCTGTCGTGAGAGTGAGACACCACATCTTCATAGAATTCGTTCAGGTGGGAAAAATCCTCCAAAATCACCGAGTCCAACTGTTCCCCCAGCACTGCCAAGGCCGCCACTGCCCCGTGTCCCCAAGTGCCACATCCACAGGGCTTTTAAATCCCTCCAGGGATGGGGACTGCCCTGGGCAGCTGTGCCAGGGCTGGACAACCTTTTCCACAAAGAAATTTTCCCAAATATCCAATCTAAACTTTACTCATCACAGCTTAAGGCTGTTTCCTCTTGTGCTGTCACTTATTTGGGAGCAGAGCCCGACCCCCTGGCTGTACCCTCCTGTCAGGAGTTGTGCAGAGCCCTGAGCCCCCTTTTCTCCAGGCTGAGCCCCTTCCCAGCCCCCCCAGGGGTTCTCCAGCCCTTCCCCAGCTCCTCAGGGATTCTCCAGCTCCCTCAGGGGTTCTCCAGCTGCCTCAGGGATTCTCCAGCCCCTCCCCAGCTCCTCAGAGATTCTCCAGCTGCCTCAGGGATTCTCCAGCCCCTCCCCAGCTCCTCAGAGATTCTCCAGCTCCCTCAGGGATTCTCCAGCTCCCCCAGGGGTTCTCCAGCCCCTCCCCAGCTCCCCCAGGGGTTCTCCAGCCCCTCCCCAGCTCCTCAGGGATTCTCCAGCTCCCCCAGGGGTTCTCCAGCCCCTCCCCAGCTCCTCAGGGATTCTCCAGCTCCCCCAGGGATTCTCCAGCCCGCCCCCCCCCAGGGGTTCTCCAGCCCCTCTCCAGCTCCTCAGGGATTCTCCAGCTCCCCCATGGGTTCTCCAGCCCCTCCCCAGCTCCCCCAGGGATTCTCCAGCTCCTCAGGGATTCTCCAGCCCCCCCAGGGATTCTCCAGCCCCTCCCCAGCTCCTCAGGGATTCTCCACCCCCTCCCCAGCTCCTCAGGGATTCTCCAGCCCCTCCCCAGCTCCTCAGGGATTCTCCAGCCCCCCCAGGGGTTCTCCAGCCCCCCCAGGGGTTCTCCAGCCCCTCCCCAGCTCCTCAGGGGTTCTCCAGCCCCTCCCCAGCTCCTCAGGGATTCTCCAGCTCCTCAGGGGTTCTCCAGCCCCTCTCCAGCTCCTCAGGGGTTCTCCAGCCCCTCCCCAGCTCCCCCAGCCCCTCCTGGGGCCCCGAGTCTCCCCCAGCCCCGTCCCCTCAGCCCGGCCCGCCGCCAGGGGGAGCCCGCGCGCCGCCGCCCGTGGAATCCGGAGTCCTTAAAAATGTAACGCAAATTATCCTTAAAATACAATGTAATAGAAGATAATCCTTAACAACTACTAGAAATGTTCCTTTTAAATGTAACATCAGTAATCCTTAAAATGGAATATAAAGAATCAAACTTTAAAAGTTAATAGAAATAATCCTTAGAAATACAGTATGAACAATTCTTATAAAATATAATGCATCATGATTCTTAAAGTATCTGTATGTGAAACATTACTCCAGTCGAGCAGGGCTGCAAAAAGACACACCCCAACCTCATCTCCAGACCCCAGCTTTATCTCCCTTGAACTCTCCCAGTGGAACACACCATTACCTTTTATGCTCGTGGTTGGGCTGCACGACTCTCCCAATTTTCCCCATTTTTGCCATGGCCTCCTAGGAAAAGACAAACACCAACTGGAAAAGCCTGTTTTGATTTAAAATACTTTTTGACAAGAACAAGATGTTTCAAAACCAATCGGAACATTAATGATGTATTTTGTTTCGGCTGAACAGGCCAGATGGCAGCAAATATGTTCAATCCCATTATAAAGTAGTCAAGAGAACAAAGCTCTGCAGATCCTAAGTAACCAAAGTCTGTTCCTCTCTCTCACTGGGAGTCCCAGGCAGAACAGAGTTATCTTTTATTATTTACTCTAACCAAAGGAAATGTTAAACACTGCATCCCCAGAGGGGAGGGTTCTCAAATAAAATGATACTGTACTTGAGATCCTGTAATCACATTCTGAAAGTATCAGTTCCCTGCAGCAAGGGAGGACTCAAGGGTGCTCCACAAGCTGAAGGTAACCTGGGAAAGTCTGTTCTGCTCACAGCTGCCCTCACATTCCAGCACAAAGATGCAAGAGGCAAACTCTGATCCTGCTCTGCTTTTGACCAAAATAAAGTCAGAGCTCACAGCATCCCCTGCAGAAGGAGTCTCTGGGACAGCCATGTGCGAAAGGGAGAGGGATGAGTAATTTGGTTCCTTTCCTGATCTCTGTGAGATTCTGATTTTCCATGGATTTTCCCAAGCAATCCACTGGAATGAGAATCACCGAAATTAAGAGGCCTGAGCTCTCAGGATACAGTGGAGGCAGCAGACATGCAGTGATTTCACAAGGAGAACCAATGCAGCAGCTTTTAGGTGGGAGAATGTTAAAAACATTAAAGGTCAGAACTCAAGAGTCAGTCTGTGACTAAATCAGGGTTCAGAGTTTCTAAGCAGGACCCTGAACCTGTTTTAATGCCTAAGAATGAGGATGACCCTGCAGAACCCTGTGCTGCAGCTGAAACCTTCCAACCGGCTGCTACAGCTGGATTTTTAAAAGGTTTGGATGATTTTACAGGCTGGAATACCGGCTCTAGTGAAATCTGTGCTTTCCACTAACCCAGCACTTGACAGCAGAGGATCTCACAGAGCTTCACAACGTGGAAGAGCAATGTCAGTGCAGTGTCACCGGCCCAGGGCAGGCTCTACCAAAGGCAAAAGCATTGCCAGGTGTGCAGTCAGGACTCCGCTCTGCTAAGGGTGCTGATACAGCAGCAGGGAATATTTCTGTGCTCTCATATGCCCATTCTCCTTCATACATGCAGAGGTTGATTGTGCTTTGATTCCCCAAGAAACACCCTTGAAATAACACTTGCAGAGAGATAGTGTGTTCTTTTCCTGGGACATGTGAGCCTGCTGGCACTGAGATTCTGCACAGCAGCCAGATTAAAATACTGCCATGGAAAGGCTGATATCCTTCCCAGGAGAGAAATGGGCATTTTATTCCCTGTCCTTTAACAGGTGACACTGACAATGCTCAAGCATTGTCCCTGTTTACAATAGTCAGTCCCTTACACTGCCAGCTGGATTTAGAGACTATCCAAAAAATGAATGAACACTCAG